AAAAAAAAAAAAAAAAAAAAAAACTCACGCATAACTAGAGAGTGTTCCTTGGTAAGTTTCATTAACCCCTCGTGATTTTGCCCAGTGTTTGACAATAAATGCCAACTGCCTGAGTCTTACATCTATGCGTGCATAATCATGGAGCAACTTTGTATTCACAACAGCCAGCACATTGTTTATACAAATATCGCATGAAATACCAGTAGCTGGATCCATGAGCTTAACTACAGGAACTCTGGCACGAGTAAGTGCCTGTACAAGTAACATGAATGTGAACATTTGGTGCATTGAGGTTTAACCACGATAAGGTGTAAGATCAGAAGCTAAACGGACCATTTATGTCATTCACATCACAATTCTATGCAGGCCTCATTCTTTACCCACATAGCAAATGAACTTCTGACCTTAATCTACGAACAAACATAACTAAATTAATATTGAATTAAAACAGATGGCACAAGCAAGATATTTACTTGCACATTCTGTAGATTGCCGGACTGTAATGTCTCCGCCAGCTTTAGCAAGACCTCAGCCTTGTCCTTATCCCCAAGATCCATCTGAAGGCAAATATCAATATCGCTTTTTGAAAAGCCGAATGAGTTGGCACAGGATCCATACAGGTGTAATCGAGCCTCAGGCCATTCTTTGCCAACAAGCTTCTCCAACACAGTCAATAACTGTTTTTGCTTAAATTTTTCTTCATCGGGAGGGATTAAAGACTCAAACACGGTTAAAAAGGGGCCATTTAGTCTGTGTATATCATTTCGACATGTTCCCCGGCTTTTAACAATTCTCATCCTCTGAGCCATTATCCACTGTCCCCTCTTGTCGGATCTATATTCCTGATTGCAAAGCGCAATGGTCAGCTATCATGAAAATGCAGTTCACATCAACTGCATCCATTATCAAACATAACTTCAAACTTAAAGCTTTCTGACCAATATATATAATTTTGTTCAAACTAGTCTGAAATGGAGTAATACTATTTCAAATAAAAAAAAAAAAATTGTAAGTTCAAAATGCTCTAGTTCTTATTTGAGAAGTATCAAGAAACAAAATCAACATATCAACCTCATCCTGACATCCAAAACTTATGACGAAAGCGGCTATTCACAAGACCTCTAATTGTAAATATAATTTAAGTCGATGTTGAATAGGACAACAACAAGTTTAATCTATTATACTCTATCATTGCATAGCATAAGACAATAATGAGTTGGATCTATGATAATGAAACCATAACATTCCAACAAATAGATTGAAATAAAGTAAGATTAAAAGGTTCCTATGACCAAATGGATGAACTATGGAGCACCGTAGTCATTCACTTAACCAGACATGACAAAATGGCCACTAAAAGGAAACAGGAGTTTGAATTTTTTTATCAATTGTACAAAGAGAAGCACATAATCCAGGTAAATTTAAGGACACAGAAAGTGTGGGATAAAATAATCTCCCTTTTTAGATGCTTTATTGCCAGATCATAATGGATATTCATCAGTGAATCACAAAATGATCAACGGCAATTAACCTTGAGACAATCTAATCGGATGACATTAGCAGCCTTAACTATTTAAGTTGCCCGGTTTTCTTTTCATTACTGCACTTAAACTTCAGAAGTTCATATGTCAGTATGTAAACCTAGCAAGAAAAGTAAGATCAAAACGAAAAGGATGGTGCTTCTGCCCAAGAACGAGAATAACAAATAAGTCCCAGAAATAAATATATTGTTATATCTGTCTCAGTGTGACACTTTGTCATAAATATGAGATAGTGAAACTTTATTACAGCAATTATCTGGCGTAAATTCTGTTTCCACATTTCTATCAAAGCAAATTTTCCATTTGTCAACTTCTGATTGGTATCACAAGTTTAAAAACACCATCACAGTTATGGTGCCCGTTATAGCATGAGGAAAACAAATTTACAGATGGGTCATTCATACATCACACTTAATAATTAGCAGTATACCCAAATTAAATAACACCAAGATATTAATGAGTCACATTAACTACGCCATTCTATCTGATTGAATTTGTTCAGCTCTGTTTCCAACAAGACACAAGATTGATAGACAACTGGAGATACCTTGTCCCTGTAGTGCTTCTTTTTATCAGATTCATCTTCAAGTCTCTTCTCACCAGAATTGTCTTCAACAGCCAAAGAACCCACAAGCCGATCCAAACCGTCCATCTCACTCACCCAATTATTCCTGCTCCCATGTCTCAATTCTTCATCCTCATTAGCATAAAGATCCATCATTGACTTCTCAATTTCGGAGGCTGAAACAGACTGAAAGCTGCTTCCAGCAGATGGGCCAACAGATTTCAGCCGATTGCTCAGCCTATCATTCTTATATGCATCACCTGAACTAAACTTGTCCTTACCTACATTCAAATTCCTTCCACCATAGCCATACTCACTGTTCTTCACATTCTTTGCATTGCCCGAAAACCCCGGAGGTGGAGTCACTTGCCCCACCACCCTATGATTTCCATCTCCCCTGCTTAACCTGTTGTTACAGTTACTGCCCCTTTCGGGCTCATAACCTCTGAATCCAGCTGGTTTTCCTATTGCACCACCATTGACCTCAACGGGATTCATCGGGCCACTATTAAGTCCCATATCCATTCCCAATCTCTCCTCCAAATAGGAATTTCCAGGTTTATTATTCCGATGTAAGCTCCTACGCAAACCATCCCCATTAGTATCCGAAGGGACATCACAAATCAGCGACCCGAATACGAGATTTTCACCCAACTGCTGCTGATGCGAGCTGGAATGCCCCGCGTACGACCGTAATTTCCTCGTATCCTCAGCCGCCGGAGCCAGATCCGAATGAAGCTTGAACCGGTGCTGACTATTACTGAATCCTCCAGGTGGAGAGCAGAAATCAGGGTTTAAAATAGGGTTCAAGTTAGGGTTTTGCGGGAAGTAATTGTGCGGAGCAAGTGGCGGAGAGGTGGCGTGATTCCACGCGGCGTAAGTGAGATCGCGTCCGTCGGAAGGGAATGCCGCAACGTGCGGCGGGTAGAAGGCGGAGATTGTGGGGCCTACCGCCGCGACGGCGGGGTCCTGGGAAGGCGAAGGCTGCTGATGTGGCGGGTAAGCCTGAGTGTTTGGATTTGGAGATTTGCGGAGGAGCTGGAGGAGGAACTCACCGCCGTTCGCCGGCGGCGTGTCGCCTCCTCTGCCAGTGTTCATGTCGTCGAAATTAGAAGTGATCGGATAAAATTGCCACCAGTGAGACTGCTTTTGATGCAAAAAAGTAAGCGAGGCTACTTGGAGTTCGATTGATAACTTGAGAAAATATAACACATGTGAATAGTCAATACGGAATAATTTAGATGGCTCGATAGCAAAATTGTATATTTAAAATATTATAAATTTTAAAAGTTTTAATAAATATGAATATAGTTAGATCTACATAAACTACTAAGAAACACCATAAATTTACACATATTATTACGAAACGCCAAATTTTAACATAATCAGAAATTAATATAAATTTGAAAATATATTTATAATTTCAATTTATAAATTATTTTTATACTTTAAAAGTCATAATAGACATGATTAATAAAGAGTTTAAATCTACATATGGTATTACGAAACATCTCAATTTGACATTTGGATTTACCAAAAAAAAAAAAAAAATGCTACATTTATGTAGGGAGTAATGTAATTGATTTTGATTTTTTTTTTTAATGTAATGGGTTGGTTTCTCCAATGAGGGCTAAGTTTAACTTGAGCCTGGTTTCAAAGAAAAATAGACTACGGCCCGTTTAATCAATTTGTTGGGCAGTCTACATATATTTCAAAATTGGTCGTATCCCAAATTTCTAAGGGCCCAAGTGAAACTGGGCCAGCATTACTAGACATGCAACATTATTTTGTCCAAGTAATATGAACTTTGCGTAACATCATCAAACTCGCGAGTCTTGAGGACCTAGGAATTTTTTTATTTTTTTTTTTTGAGTAGAACGGCAACACCATACAAGCTAAAGAGAAGGAAAAAAAAAGAAGGAACAAAAGAAAAAACCATTGAGAAATACAAAATAGGCTATAAGCGCATGTAAGGTAACCAAGCAGCATCCTTGGCCAACAGAGTGAGTACGTCATCCGGGGGAAAAGCCCAAGTCGTAAAGAACGCTTCTTCCTTGGCTCCTCTCCGAGCCAAGATATCGGCAACGGAATTTCCCTCTCTCCATATGTGGAAAAACCGCACATTCCCAATCAAACTGATCATCTTGTCCCTGATGTTCATGAGTAGCCCTCTCATAACATGATTTGCTACGGATGCCCTTTGGATCAGCCGGAGAGCCTCTTGCGAGTCGGAGTAACAGGTGAGAGTTGTGCACCTCCGAGCCACTGCTAAATTTAACCCTTCGAGAATCGCGACCGCCTCGGCTAGAGAGTTGTCGGCAATACCTATGTTACCCGAAATCCCCTCGATCCACTCCCCCTCGTGATTGCGCAGGACGGCTTCGAATCCGGATGGACCCGGATTACCCATTGACGAGCCGTCAGTATGCAAGATCAGACCCTTACAAAAATAAGGGTTCCAAGTAACAGTCTTAGAAAAACTATCTTGACTAGCCCCATCCATGAGCATGTTCGCCCGCCGCCTTGTCTCCCGCCACCATTGGAGGAAGGATAAGATATCCCTGACAACAGCATAAGGAGATTTAGATGGCTTACCAAACACCCTGTTATTGCGTTCCACCCACATAAACCAAAGGGCAAACCGCAACCCCACCGGCGCATGAACGATGAAATCAAGAGCTTGGCTATCAAGAGGGATTGTATGGGCCAGCCGATAAGGAAAACCGTAATGAATTAGCCTGGCCCAAACCTGAGCAGTCCACGGGCACTCAAAAAACATGTGCACCCAAGTCTCCGTTCCATCCCCGCAAATCGTACAAGCCCCCGTGGAATCTAGATGACGTCGGTGACGCAACTCCTTCGTAGGTAGCGACCGATGCCCAATAAGCCAACAGAAAAAATTAATTTTCTCTGGAACGTCTGGCCTCCAAATCTTTTTCCACGTCGTCTTCGTGTTAGCGCCCTGTTTAAGCAGCCAGTCGTAGCAAGAAGCCACTGAATATTTACCACTACTACCAACCGACCAACACCTCCTATCAGGCACAGAAGGATGAAGATATATATTCCTAACGTCCGTCAAGTTGATATTAAAAAAAGAAAAATAAATAAATAAATAAATAAATAGTTTACAACGAAATTTATAAATTCCTCGCATAATAATTTAAAAAATGAAAATGACTAAAAAATTGCAGATCAACTGAAGCCATTCTGAATGATAAATATTAAATGACCCATTTAACTATTTTTATCACAAATTGATAAGCATTGAAATTAATGGTATCATTTCAATAAAATAAATAAAAAAAAAAATTTGATCTTTCAAGAGCATCTCTATGTGTATTGACACCCATTTGGATATGTTGTGTTTTTGTGCATTATACTGCACTACACTGGGGCCAATTAGTGCAATAATTCAAAAAGGAAGATAAATATGAACTCATCAAAATCAGTACTCATCAGAAAACACATGGAACCTATTCTAATTTCTCATCAATGCCCCTTTTGAATAAAGTTTGCCCCCCCTTTCTGTTGGGCAGCAGACAAGAAGAGAGCAAAGGCAAAATAATTTGAAGAGAACCAAGTAAAAATCGATCAAAATTGAATCTTGAGTTGAAGTTAATCGTTTTGAATAAAGTTGATTGAGTGTGATGATAGAGATTGTAAGGCTAGTTAGCCTTCGAGTTTTATCTTGTAATACTACACCGAAATGCATGGTTGGACTCGGTTTTATCTCGATCTTTCTATATATTCTATTCAATTTGGTGCGGTTCGATGCAAATCTGCACCGAACCGAACAAAACTGAAAGTTGAACTTATGAAAAAATTATAACCTCACTGCACTGCAATGTAGGAAAAAACCGACTAAAACCGAACTGAAGTTTTTTTACATTAAAAAACCAAATCCACATCAAATTGCACGCTTCGGTTCGATTTTTCAGTTTTAGCTCGATTTTGCTTCTCATATCTAAAAGATTTCCATAAATAGTCCCTACCTATAGCCCACCTTTCCACCCTAACTCTCTTCCACCAACTCCAAACTCAACCACCCAAAAAAAAAAAAAAAAAAAAAAAAAAAAAAACAATATAAAAATTTAAGATCATGAATACTTTTTTTATTTTTTCTTCTTATACTTTGCTTATCATCCTTTTGATTTTGTTTTATTTTTTAATTTACGGTTGTTGTAAATGGTTTCACATTAATACATTAGTCAACTTCTTTTTTTTTTTGGTACAAATTAGTCAACTTCTTTAAGGAGCAAGTAATGTTGACACATGGGGAAGTAATGAGCTCCAAACTGATAATTGAAACAGTTTTACATTGATAGATATTTTAGTGCTTATTTATGCATAAGATACATAGAATTATATTTCAAGATATATCATATAATATTGTAAATATATTAAACATTTTAGTTAAATTGAGAACAAATCATTTTAGGTGGGCAAGTTGTTTTTTTTTTTTTTTCAATGTAGATTAATTTTTATATAATTTGAAGTGGTAAACATTCTATCATTGCTTCTCATAAATATTAATTAGGTCTTACAAATATCATTTCACAAATTCTTGGTTAAGGTGACTTAACCATTAAGCGAGTTGACTCGATCATGTTTAAAAAAAAAAAAAAAAACGAATTACATACTTATGTTCAATTTCACACTTATGAGTCTTGTTATGTTATTTTTTAGAGTATGACATTTCAATATAAAAATATATAAATCTATTGAAAATTTATGACAGTCTAATCCTTAGGTCTGTCAAATAGTAATCTCATTGATATTATTAGTTCTTATGTGAACAAAATTATTTTTTAATCTTATTTATGATAAATTGTGTTAATGCAACTCCATATTTAACTTAAACATCATCTTAATATTAGCATGATACATAATTTTTAAAACTAATGTTATTATTTTTAGATTGGTATTAATATTTTTTTCTCAAATGAGTACTATATTAATAACTTAAAAACTCAAACGAGTACAATGAGATGTCAACTGACAATACTGAAATCAGAACAAGTCGACGTACGCAGGTGACCAATAAAGTATATAATTGAGACTCAAACTCCATATAGAAGATTCACAGTCAAACGGTTGGACTAAACAAAACAAAAACAAGCAAAAAATTGAAACGACACCCGTCTAATTTACATATACAATAAGACCTCCCCTGAACCCTGCAGGCAAAACACATAGCCACCCAAACTGAAATCCGAGCCAAACCTCGAAGCACAGAAACCCAACAGAGCAGCAAACCAAAGCCACATACCAAAAAACTGCGGCAAAACTCGAACCGCCTAGACAAACCTGAGGAGTAGGAAATTCTCAGCCTAGATATGCGCTCTGAAGATCTTCAACATCAGGAAGAGAGAAGAGGGTGATCGGATAAGTCACGAATCGCGCCAGACCCGACTCTGGGACAGAGCGGGCCGGGCGATAGCCCATGGCCCCCACTTACCCTAGGCCCATTAATTTTAATTATTGATATATATATATATATATATATATATATATATATATATTATTAATATAAAAAATAGTTTTAATAGCTATGTTCTTCTTAATTCATCAATAAAGGTATCTCATTGTTTTTCGAATTTGACAAATTTCATGGAAAAATAAATTATTAATTACTAGTAGTAAAATTAATACATTTTTAAATACTTTTTCATATCATTTTCATTCGTTTTTTAAATTTTTTTCTTCTTGCTCGAATATACAAAATGTTATATTGTGGGGTACAATTAAATAAAGTTACTAATAGTCATTAGAAGAGTCAATTGCAATCAACTCAATTTTAAAATAATTTTAATTTATTGTTATTTAGTTTTCTTATATATCAAAACTAGTAATTTTTACTTTTCTGACAAAAAAAATTAAATTTTAATCGAATATTATATAGTCCGATTAATATAAAATATAATATTTAAGTAAAAGAAAAAGTTTATTAGAGTTTTAACGTTTATTTTTTGCTTTCAAGAAACAAAATATTTCTTCCTCCTTATCATTTGTTATTTTGAAGATATAAAATGTAACTATAATAATAATTTAAATCTCACAACTTTTTATTGTAGCTGGTAACATTATGCTTTCTTTAGAAACTTAAACAAAAACATAAAAACAATAAAACCAATTTGAACATTTAGCATAAGTCGCCCAGGGCTTTATGAAGTTCAGGATCGACTTTGAACCGCGCAACCGAAAGGGGTCGGCCATGCGGCCCAATGCCGCCTCCTACCTGGAAAAACCAACGAACAAGAGGTCGAGAGGACGTCATGTAGTCGGCTTTACAAGCGATTGCAAGGCAAACTGGCGGCAACTAACACGGAAGAGAGAAGATATTAATTCCAAATCAAAAGCAATGAATATTTTTAGCCAATATTTCCAAAAACTTATGACACGATTGATAATTTGGTATCACCACCAATATTATAGTATTTTTTCTAGTATTTTAATTAATTTTGTTTGCTTATTTTCATTTTTATTTTATTTTTTATTTACCTTTATTATAAATGAGATAACGTGAATGCATTAATCAACCAATGTAAATATCAGTCAATATTGAGACCACGGGAAAATAATGCAAACCTTTTGGCTCCATACTTGACTGCTCATTTTAAAATGTTGCCATCACTATCTCAATTCATATCGTATTGATAACGTTATGGCCTCCAATTTGGAAAGTATATATATGGATATGTTTCGTAGACCAATAAGTTAACTTATAGTTTATTTAATTAATTTATAAGTTATATGTATTTAAGTAAGCTCTGGTTGGTAGGACGAGCTTATTTAAAAAAACTCGTTGAAATTTTTTATTTCAGCTTGCTTATCAGCTAATTTTACCAAACACTTTTATCATATAAGCTAGCTTTTCAGCTATAAGTCATAAGTATAAGTTCGAAAATTATTAATAAGCTATAAGCTAGTTTATCCGCTATCAGCTAGTTTTACCAAATATAGTCATAATAGTAGTGTTGGAGTGCATTTTGGTTTTGGATGTGAAATTAGGGGGTATTAAAATTGCTCTTGAACTTACAATAATGAAAGTTCATAAACTATGCGGAAGTTATTTACATATTTATATATTATATGTAAATAAATGTAAATAAAATTATAAATTATTTTCTTCCATATTTATATAATAAATATAAATATATGTAATTAAATTTATGAATTGAAAAAATAATTTAATAAATAAACGAATCAAGCTTATTTTTAAAATATAGCTAAAAATATGAATGCATAATACTAATTAAATTAAGTTAAAAACATGTGGAACCTCTTAAAAAAAGTTTTACGAGGCTTATTGTTATTTACGGTTTGTACATATAGATGTAAGACTGATGTTTAGAAGACAATTGTCAAATGAAGTTTAAGAGGTTTATTAGTTAAAGATGCTGTAAGAGATAACATTAAGTTTGATATAATAATATGTATCACGATCATGTGATCTAGGCTCGTGTTGGGTTGATGGCTCGGTAGTCTAGACCGAGCTCGACCCGAGTCTAGGACCGTCCAAAGATTAAATAAATATATGTAGTATTTTCGTGCTGGCCCAGCGAAAAAACATGGCCTTGGACCGACTCGGTCAAAATTCAAGTCGGGTCCCGACCTGCGGTCAATGGGTTTAATCTGGCCATGTCCGTGTCGGATCGGCAGGCCGAGCAGCCACCTCTAGATTAATGCATGCATCAAGATCATCGGTCCAGACCTGTGGTCAATGGGTTTAATCTGGCCAAGTCCGTGTCGGATCGACAGGCCGAGCCACCTCTAGATTAATGCATGCATCAAGATCATCAAACCCCATATATGTACAAAATGTCCCACCAATAGAATTTTTTACCAGAAAAAAAAAA